ATGAACCGCCATGTGAACCATAGCCAGATATGTCTATTTCTTTTAATATGCCAATTTTACCTTCATATATTTCGACACTCTGTTATTAGGGTTACAAACCTTTATGGTTGTTACATCTTCTTGATGAATTGACCATTTCATTATTATGTAATGTTCCTTGTAGACAGCCCTTTTATTCATTCTAACAATCTCTGTTATTTAATCGGAATATTTAGTTCATTTACATTTAATGTAATTTTTGTTATGTTTGGATTTGGGTATAACGTATTATTTGTTTTCTGTTCATTCAGCAACAGTCTGATTTGAACAGCTTGAACAGCTTGTTTTCTATTCTTCTACTCCTTTCCTGCCTTCTTTTGGGTTGATGTGGTATTTTTTAAGAATTTTATTTTAATTTTTCTATTGACTTTTGATACTTTGCTTTATATTTTTAGTGGTTGTTCTAGTGATCAAATACACATTGTGAACTTTTTGCAGCGTACCTCATAATGTACTGCTTCATGTAAAATGTAAGTTTCTTGTAGTAAGTCATGCTATTCTCATTTTAAGTAATCTAGGAGTTAGGAATGCTAAGTGTATTACCTAAAATATCTAGCTATAACTACCTAATACTTAAATTTCAAAGATTAAACCAAACTTACATTTATAGAATATACCCAGTTTACTTTTGGTATAGATTTATATCCTTTTTAAAATTTCTGTGTTCTCTGTGCTAACATTTTGTTTAAGAGTTTTGCTTCTATATGAGTAAGAGAACTTGGCTTGTAAATTTCCTGTTTTATAGTGTTCTTGTCAGGTTTTCTTAAGTTATGTTGAACTCATGAAATGAGTTGAGAATATTTTCCCCTTTTTCTAAATTCTGAAAGGGCATGTTACAGATTGGTATTATGTTTTTCTTAAGCATCAGGTAGAATTTATTGGTGAAACTATATGGCCCCTAATTTTTTTGAGAAGGTTTATAATTGCATATTTAGGTTTCTTTCATGGTTTTATGGGTATGTAAATTTCCTTTTTGTCAGTTTTGATAAATTCTATTTCTACATTTCATCTAAATTTTTACTTTTATTGGCAAAGTATTATTGTGGGTTACACATATTTTTTGTTTGCCTTTTCTCTTCTCTTTTTTCTTTATCAATTTTGCCAGGGGTTTATTTTTAAAATTCTTTCAAAGGATGATTATTTGGCATCGTTGATCATTTTCTTTTCATTTATTTATTATATATATTTATTATACCTTTAAGTTTTGGAGTACATGTGCAGAACGTGCAGGTTTGTCATATAGGTATACACGTGCCATGGTGGTTTGCTTCGTCCATCACCCCATCAGTCTACATTAGGTATTTCGAATTTTTATTGTATACTTTAGTCATTTCTGCTTTTTTGTGTAAAATTTTTTGTTATTTTCGTAAGTTTTTGAGATACATTCTTTGGTATCTGATTGATAGTCCCTATTCTTTCCTAATATAGATGCTCCTTGACTTACAGTGGGATTATGTCCCCATAAACCCATTGTAAGTTGAAAATACTGTAAGTTGAAAACGCATTTAATACACTAACCTGTTGAACATTATAGCTTAACCTATCCTACCTTAAACATGCTCAGAACACTTAGATTAGCCTATAATTGGGCAAAATCATTGAACACAATGCCTATTTCATACTAAAGTGTTGAATCTCATATAGTTTATTGAATATTGTACTGAAAGTAAAAAACAGTGATTGTGCAGTTTCTTCTGAATGCATATTACTTTTACACCATTGTAATTTGAAAAATTGCAAGCTGAACCGTCATAAGCTGGGGACTGTCTGTAATATTCATTTAAGTCCCTAAGGTACAAGCTTTTGCTGTATTCTACAAATTCAACATATATTGTTATTATTTTATTCAAATATTTTATGATTTATATTGTGAACTCTTTGAATTCTGTTCCTTACTGTCCAAACATTTGGAGATTTTCTGCTTCTATTTTTGTTATTTCTAGTTTGTTGTATTGTGATCAAAGAACATATTCTGTATGGTTTCCATATATTGAAATGCATTGAGACTTCTGTGGCCTGGCATATGTCAACTTTTTTTTTTTTTTGAGATAGAGTTTCACTCTTGTTGCCCAAGCTGGAGTTCAATGGTGTGATCTCAGCTCACTTCAGCCTCCGCCCCCGGGTTCAAGCAATTCTCTTACCTCAGCCGGGATTATGGGCTGGGATTATGGGTGCACACCACCATACCTGGCTAATTTTTTGTATTTTTATTAGAAACAAGGTTTCACCATGTTAGCCAGGCTGATCTCAAACTTCTGGTCTCAGGTGATCCGCCTGCCTCAGCCTCCCAGAGTGCTGGGATTACAGGTGTGAGCCACCGTGCCTGGCACATATGTCAACTTTGGTAAATATTTCACATGTACTTAAAATCCAACTGTGCTTTGCAGTAGTGTGCAGTGTTTTGGCAATGTTCATTAGGTCAAGTTTGACAATCATGTTATTAAAATCTATATCTTTACTAATTATTTTGTTTATTCTTGCTGAGTTATTTTTAAATCTGCCATTGTGCTCATAGACTTGTCTACTTTTATTTCAGTAAATTCTTCTTTCTTTCTTGATACATTTAGACTTCTTAAAATTTCCAAGTGAACTAATTATCAATATTAAGTTAAAATGTGCCTCTTTAATTTCATGACTTTTGCCTCAGCATCTATATCTGATATGAATATAGCTGTATGAATTTTCTTTGATTTTTGTTTATGTAGTCTATCATTTTCATTTTCGAATTAGAACTGTATCCCTTGTCTTTTCTAAGATGTTTTTCTTGTAAATGGCAAGGAAATATATTTTATTTGTCTGACAGTCTTTATCTTTTGCTTAGACTGTTTCGTTCATTTCCATATAAAGTGCTTTCTAGTATATTTGGCGTTAAACTTAGTATTTTACTATTTGCTTTTTATTTATTCCATATCCTGTTTTTCCTACTTTTTTTGTGTCCTTTTGGATGGATTCATATTACTTTATTATCTCTTTTATTGGGTATGCCTTTTTTTTATTCTTTTATTAGTAGTTACCCGTAGAGGTTACAACAGATACCATTGATTTATCATAATCTAACATAAATTAGTACTTTAATTCCCTACTGACAGCATAGTGACCTCAGAATATTGTAACTACACTTGTGTTCCTTCCAACTCACACATTTGTTGCCATAGCTTTTAATTCTTCTGTTACTTGATTTCAATGAAACTTTTTTTTGTTATTTGATAATGTCAATTAATACATATAGTTTGTATATATTTATCATTTTTGTTGCTCTTAATTTTTCCCTGTGTCACTGATCTTCTATTTAGTATCATTTTCCTTGTGCCTGAAAACATTCTTCAGTTACTTTCTTTAGTGTGGCTTTTTTGGTGATGAATTGGCTCTCTTTTTGGTTGTCTGAGAATCTTTACCCTTCATTCTTGAATATTGTCAGTAGATATAAAAATCTAGGTTGCTTTTATTAGCACTTTGAAAATATTCTATTGTGTAGTATTTCCCATTGTTTTTGCTGCAAGGTCAGCTACTTGTCTATTTGTGTATGTTTTAATTTTTTTATTTTGAGACAGGGTCTTGCCATGTTGCCCAGGCTGGAGTGCAGTGGTGCAGTCACGACTCACTGCAGCCTCGTCGCCCTGGGCTCAAGCAGTTCTCCCACTTCAGCTTTCCAAGTAGCTTGGGAATATAGGCATGAACCACCCTGTACCCAGCTAATTTTTGTAGTTTTTGTAGAGATGGGATTTTGCCATGTTGCCCAGGCTGGTCTTGAATTCCTGGGCTCAAATGGTCTACCTGCCTCGGCTTCCCAAAGTGCTGGGATTACATGTGTGAGCCACCATGGCCAGACTGGTTGTTGCTTTTTTGTAGATAATCTGTTTTTTCTTCTGACTGCTTTTAACAGACATTTTTCTGTCTCAGGTTGTTTCAGTGAAGCACCTGCTTGTGTTTTTGTGTTAGTTTGCTTTTGGTTTTCATTTTGTTTTGGTTTTGGTTCTTAGAAGAAGATCTTGAATCTGTGGCTTGATTTTTAAAATCAGTTAAGTTTTCAGCTTTTATTTCTTCAGACATTTCTCCTGTATCGTTTATTTCCTTCTATCATTTGGGATTCAGATTATAGGTATCCACACCCTTATTAAGTATATTTTTTTCTATAGTTTTTCTAATTCTCTCAGTTTTTTGAATTATATAGTTTTCTTCTTACATACTTTATTTCGTAAGGTAATGATCAATTATTTTCTCCCATTTGGATACCTCATATACCTTTCTTCTCAATCTTTTAAAACAACCCTGCCAGTATTATTTTTTGCCATTTTTACAGGTATTATTCAGGGAGGTTAAACCTTGCCCAAGTTCACATAGCAGCCAAGCAATCAGAGCTAACATCTGAATCAGTCTAATCAATTCAGTATTTCTTGCTCTTTAGTATAGGAGGTTATGATTCCTTTTTTTCTCTCTGTTTTTCTCACTTAATTTTTGGAGACTAGCTGTTACTCAAAATGTTGTATATATCAATGAATTAGTCTATCTTAAAATAACATTTTGCCATTTCACCTATGTTTATTAGATAATAGAAGTGTACAAATTTATGGACCAAATATTATCCCCTTTAAGGAGTTTATTTTCTACATGGAAACAGGAATGCATACAGTTTATTCTAATAGACGATATGAAGAGATAGTTTCCATGGTTAGAAACAAATAAGAAGATAGTGTCTCAAGTGATGGAATTAAGAAAGAATCCATTGGGTAGGTAGAAGTTATCGTGGAAAAGATGGCGATGTGAGGATTTTCGTTTGTTTACAAGGGGAAAAAACGTTGTTACAAATAAAGAAAATCAGTGCGAACATTTCATGTTATATTTTCCCCCCAACAAATCTCTTTGTACATATTTTGTCACTCATTGGATAGTCATGTAAGCAGTGAAATTTTGTACGTCATGATACATTATACACAGCGATTGAAAAAGTCTTTTTTTCTCAGGTTATTTCATTTCTGGCTGCAGTTTTGCATAAAAAGGGAACTCGTGAGGATATTGAAAATAACATGCCAGAGTTTTTACTAAGAAGTATGAAGAAGGAACCCTCTTCTTCTACAGCAAAAAAGGTAAAATCTCTAGAAATAGTCTACTCATGCTGCTGGTATTACAGAAGCACATAGAAATATTTAAATATACACATTAAAATTTATTAGTATAAATTTTAAAACTTAAGAATTTAAAGATGTTATTAAAATATTTGTTTGATAGGCCTAGTTTGAAAGATTATCAATTTTATCCTTAAGTTAAATTTGATTGACTCTCATAATGGCAAAATAGAATTTCAGCTTGATTTTGCTTTGGGGTTTTAATTGGTTGCTTGGCTGGATTTACATGATTTACTTAGGTTGATTTGTTAAATTTCTATGAATGTATATGTAAAGTTAATTGAAGGCTTCATTATATTGTTTTTTATTTATGTGAGAATGAAAAGTAGATAGTTATAGATATTGGTAAGAAAAGTATATCATCAACGTATTTCAAGTTGCCTAGCTGACTAATTGCATCCAAAAAATATGAAATACATTCTACCAATACAAGAAAGTTAGAATAAAAAAGTCTAGGTCTGTACTTATTTTTGCCTCTGCCCATGTAACTGTGAATGCTCTTCATATTCATGCTTTTCTCCTTCATAAGTATGTTACATATATATCAAGGACTTGAGAATCCACACATTTTGGTATCCAAGAGAGGATAATGTGCATTGCTGTTTATCTTACAAAAAAGATTTCAAATAAAGCAATGAAATATAAAGAAAAAAACTATATTATACTTACATGTCTTTTAAAAAATACTATCCTCAGCATCCAGGAAACCAGACAGGAATAAAAATGAAGTGATTTTATGAAATCTTTATTATATTTGGTAATGAATTACTTACCACAAGTTTTAAAACAGATTCTTTTATACAAGTCTTATATGTAAGATTGCTGAGAAGTCCAAGTTTACTTTTGGCTATCATAAGGACCATTTCAGTGCAGACTTTTCAGAAGTACTGGCTTAAGATATTATAATTGCTATCATTTTAAATTTTCTTAATTTTTTAGTAGCATAAATGTATCCTGAGTATCAGGTTCAATGTGATCCTGAATAATGGTTCTTAATGTACTTTAAGTATTCAAGAGCTCAAGTACTGTTTTTAGCTCTGGATTCAGTTGTTTCCTGGTTCCAAATGTCACTGCGGAGCCTGTGTATCTCTTATATGCCACTGTGACAGCAGACAGGACAGAGAAAGAGGGGAAAGTAGTATTTTAAAGTACAGGACGAGAATGGGCCAGGCGCAGTGGTTCGTGCCTGTAATCCCAGCACTTCCGGAGGCCAAGGAAGGTGGATGGCTTGAGCCCAGGAGTTAGAGACCAGCTTGGGCAACATGTCAAAACCTCTTCCTACTAAAAATACAGAAAGTTAGTCAGGTGTGGTGGTGTGTGCCAGTAGTCCCAGGTACTTCAGAGGCTGAGGTGGGAGGATCACCTGAGCCTGGGGAGGTTGAGGCTGCAATGAACCATGTTTGCACCACTGCACTCTAGCCAGGGCAATAAAGTGAGACCTCTGTCTCAAAATAAATAAATAAATAAAAATAAAGAACAAGAATGAAAGAAAAGAAAATTAACAAAAATACTCATTTGATGATGTGGTAAAATGTGCTAGTAATGGTTACCTTAGTTGACACTAATTCCTCTGCTTCCTTCTTTCCTTCTTTTCTCTTTATATATATGTGTATATTATATGTATGTGTGTGTATATATGTATGTATGCATATGAGATGTATCATACACACACACACACACACACACACACACACACACACACACACACAGAGTTGTCTCTTGGTATCCATGGGGGATTGGTTCCAGGACCTCTCTTGGATACCAAAATGTGTGGATTCTCAAGTCCTTGATATAAAATAGTGTATTTGCATATAAACTATTCATGTCTTCCGTATACTTTAAATCATCTGTTGTTTACTTAGTGCAATGTAAAGTCTGCATAATTAGCTTTTATATTGTATTGTTTAGGAAATAGTGACAAGGTCTGTGTACATGTTTAGTGCAGACGGAATTTTTTTAGTATTTCAAATTGTAGTTAGTTGAATCCAGTGATGTGAAACCTACAGATACGGAGGGACAACTGTACATTTCTTGCTGTAATGTACATTGATATTTATGTTCTTCAGTTGATTCCTTAATTAATTTATTTTCAGACTTTTTGTATTCTAATAAATTTAATACTTAAAGCTATAAGTATTCCTTTGGGCCAGGCATGGTTGCTCATGCCTGTAATCCCAGCACTTTGGGAGGCTGAAGCAGGAGGATCGCTTGAACCCAGGAGTTTGAGATCAGCCTGAGCACCATAAGGAGACCCTATCTTTACAGAAAATAAAAAATACAACAGTTAGCCTGGTGTGGTAGTGTATGCTGTGGTTCCAGCTACTGGGGAGGCACAGGTGAGAGAATCACATGAGCCCGGGAGTTCTAGGCTGCAGTGAGCCATGATCATACCACTGCACTCCAGCCTGGGCAACAGAGAAGACCCTGTCTCAAAAAAAAAAGTTGCTTTCAGTACATTTTTGGCTGTGTTCTATAGTTTTTAATATGCAGTCTTTTCTTTGGGCTTTTCTAAATTATCTGTGGCCCCAATATTTATTTTTCTTTTACCCAAGTACTATTTAAAATTGAAGTTTTAAAATTTTCTAGTGAATAGCTATTGTTGGGGCACAGGATGATGGGAGGACTGAGCCCTTTTTGATGATTTCTAGTTTTTTTGCATCAGATAACAGCCTTGATAGTTTTTTCTTTGTGCTTAAATCCATGGTCAAGTTTTTTATGCTTTGATGTTGTGCATTGTGTGGTCTCTCTTGTTTTAATATGTTGCTTACATTGTGCATGCTTTCTAATTATGGTCACATGGTTCTGAGTATTTCTGTTTAATCATGTTTGTTAATTGCATTGTTAAATCGTTTAATGCTGTTATTATTTTTTTTTTTCCTGTTTGAGTAGTTGGATCTGGAAAGAAATATATTCAGTTTGCTCATTGTGACTTTCAGTTTATTTTTCTTTGTGTTCATACCAACTTTTGCTTAACATCTTCAGTTAACTCTTCGGTGGTTGGGCATGGTGATTTGTGCCTGTAGTCCCAACTACTCAGGAGGAGGAGGTAGGAGGATCTCTCGAGCCCAGGATGTTGAGGCTGCAGTGATCCTTGATTGTGCCACTGCACTCCAGCTTGGGTGACAGAGTATGACTCTGTCTCAGAAAAAATATATATAGAGAGAGTAAATTGTATGTGCTTGTATATTGCATATATTGCTCTCATATTTATCTATAGGCTTATCTGCCTATAGAATTTTAAATTCAAAATTTTCTTTTATAATGACCAAACTCATTTTATTATCTTTTGTCACTCCATATTGCAGGTGAGAGTTCTGTGTCATCCCAACTTTTTTCCTTGGAAAGGATTTTTTTTTTTTAATTGTTTGGAAGTATTAAGAACTTTTTTAATCGATGAAATTCAAAAATTTCCGTGAGCTCTAACACTTATCATAGATTTCCTCCAAATCAGTTTTGCTTTTGAAAAATATATACCGTACTTTGTGTAGGGAAAGTTGCGTACTGATGCTAGAATCAACTTCTTTGAAGCAAATGACTGGTGTAACTTTTCCTTCTTAAAATTACTTAGCCATTATTTTTCTTGACTCAGTCTTTCCAACTACCTTAGTTGCTTTGTTGAGTTTTATTTTGCTTGTTGTCGTTTTTAGGTTCCTTCTAAGAAAAGTAAATTTGTTAGTGGGGGACGACAGAGGGAGTTTTTGCTTTCGGAGATGTCGGCTGGATTGCCCGGTTCTTCAAATGCCCCAGTTCTTATCTGCCCCTGCGCTGTTAGGACCTGCTGGTACTAGCCTTCCAGCCTTCGAGCACTATTATGGATTTATTATGTTTGTTCTTTCGTTTCATTGGCATCCACACAAACATGTACTGAGTCAGTCATTTGAACTGGAATGCAGAAGTTGTTTTTTTTTTTTTTTGGAGACGGAGTCTCACTTTGTCACCAGGCTGGAGTGCATGATTGATCTTGGCTCACTGCAACCTCCGCCTCCTGTGTTCAAGTGATTTTCCTGCCTCAGCCTCCCGAGTAGCTGGGATTACAGGTGCGTGCCACCATGCCCAGGTAATTTTGTATTTTTAGTAGAGATGGGGTTTCACCATGTTGGCCAGGATTGTCTCCATCTCCTGACCTCGTGATCCGCCCACCTCGGCCTCCTGAATTGCCGGGTTACAGGCGTGAGCCACCGCACCTGGCCCAGAGTTTTTAATGGAGTCACTAGTAACATTCTACAGTATTTTCCAGAAGCAAATAAAAAGATGATAACTTTGAAATCTTCAAAAGATAAATTTTTATTGGTTCTTTTAAAACAATGTACGTTTTAAAAAGAAAGACGTTTACGAAATACAGAAGAAATAAATTCTTTTATGTTTATTTGCTAATGCCAAAATTACAATCAAATTCTAAAAAATTAATGTTGAAACTTTGAAAAAAGTCCTTTAATGAACTGAGTATTACAAATTAAGGAGTGGTGGATTTAAGGCATGTGTGTGTGATAAGATACATCTCATATATATTTAAAAACTTTTCAAGTATGAATAAATCATCTAAGAATGCATGAATGTTTTTTTTGCCAAGAATAAATTCTTTTCTTTTTTTCTTTTTTTTTTAAATTGCATTTTAGGTTTTGGGGTACATGTGAAGAACATGCAGGATTGTTGCATAGGGACACACATGGCAGTGTGACTTGCTGCCTTCCTCCCCATCACCTGTATCTGGCATTTCTCCCCATGCTCTCTCTCCCCAGCTCCCCACCCCCCGCTGGCCCTCCCATATTTCTCCCCCAACAAATCCCAAGAAATAAATTCTTAAAGGAAAATACACAAGCTCTACATTTTAAACATTGATTTTTGGAATGGTTCTTTAGATTTAGGCTGTTAAGTTTTGATGGAAATTCAGTTTTTATGAATCAGTAAATTTATTATAAAATGTTACTATCTTGCATGACAAAACTTTAGAGATTCTAAGTAAAATTCATAATTAATGTGGAAGGGGAAGAGATTTGTTGCAATCACAATACCAGTATCAGTAGCAATTTCAGTGACAATTGAACAAAAATATTTTATAATTATTTTATTTACTATACACTATTTTTTTTAATTCTTCATATATATCAAGAGGATTATGCACACGATGCCACTATGGGCATCCTTTTTTAAAAAAAATTTATTTATTTTACTTAAGATGCATATTATATCTGGCATTTCTGTCTATGTTATCCCTCCCCACCCTTCCTTCCCTCCCCACCTAGCGCTGTCTCTCCCCTACCCCCGCAACTGTCCCCAGTGTGTGATGCTCCTCTCCCTGAGTCCACGTGTTCCCGTTGTTCAACACCACCTATGACCGAGAACATGCGGTGTTTGGCATCCTTATACCTGTATCTGGACAACTTTTGCAATAATAACTGTAGGATAAATTCTTAGTACTGGAGTTGCATGGTAGGTAGAACTGGATTTGGGGGATTACATTTTGATAGCTGGAGTTAAACTACTCAATATCCCAACAGTGGTGTATAAGAATATCTGTTTCCACCTTTTCATTTGCACTAGGTATTAGCAAACATAAATTTGTGACTTCCAGAGGTTTAAAATTTTTATCTTGCTTTGATTTACATTTCTTTAATTATGGGTGTAGCTGTAGCTATTCAGATGCTTAAAAGCAAAAAATAAGAAAAAAAAAAGAAAAAAATAGATGCTTAAAAGCTATTTTTAAATCTAATTCTTGTTTTTAATCATAGTCCTTGATTAATAGTTCTTAATGATATATCCTGGAATTTAATTTTTTGTTCATTATAGGTTTTGAAAATATTTCTTCCTCACATAAGAGTCAGCTTTGAATTAAGTATTGATTTTTAAATTTTTTAGGTAGTTACATGTATTTGTTTTTATAGTTTCTAGGTTTTATGTTTGCCTAGAAAAGCCTTTTGTACTCTAAAATTATAAATAAATTCACTCATGGTTCTTTTATATTATGTGTGATTTTATTTTAAACCTTTGTATCTTTGTCTCAGCTAGAATTTGTTGTAGGTGTCTAGTAATCCAATTTTATTTTTCTCAGATGGTTAGCCAGTTATCTTAATGTCATTTATTGAGTAAGCCCGCTTTTCCACAGTGATTTGAAGGGCCACTTTGGTGTAAAATTGAAGTCTATTTCTAGACATATTATTCTGTCCTAATTATTTATTTTGTCATTTCTCTTCCAGTGCTAAACAGTTTTAGTTATATTAGCTTTAAAATTTATTATTCCATAGTTTCTCCTCAAGTTTTCTCAACTTAGGAAAAATTCATTTCCTCAGATTTCTCCTAAACACCTATTGATATATTAGTTAGTACTGTTTTGAATTTATAGTTAACTTTGCTTGTCATTTCCATTCTTAATCGTTTTTGTTTACTTCTCTTTTTTAATTGCAAGATTTTATATTTATTGATATGGTTTATAACTTTCTGTTTTGATAGAATATCAAGTTTTGGTATTATTATGTTGTTTTTGTAAAAAGCATTTGAAAGGGCTCCTGACTACAGTGGATTATAAACTGAAATTTCTAAATAGTAAATAATCACAGCATACCAAAGGAAAAACGATCAGCTATGTACACAGTAGGGTATAAATTAACTATGTTGGGTATTTTTGAGAGAGTTAAGAGTGCAGAAATAAATACAATAATTTTTTTTTTTTAGAACTTTGAGTTTTTTAGCAGATTCCAATTTTACGTTCTGTAATTTTTCTGTAAAGGTACAATTTACTTTTCATTTTGATACCACACTTCTCATGTGGAACCCTTGTTTCGCCTCTACTGATCTGTCACTGTTCTCTGAACATACATTATTATTCCTAACTTAGCATCGACATGAATGGTTTTATTTGTTCATTTATCTATTGAACACCTTCTGTTTTCCAAGTACTATATGAAGTTCTGAAGTTACAGTGGTAAATAAGAAAGTTATACGTCCAAGGACATAGACTTTTTGATTGAAGGTGCTAACATGATATGTCATGATAGTTAAGAGTTTTAGAATTAGACAGACCTGGGTTCAGATATTTAACTTTGCTGCTTAATAGCAGTATGACCTTGAGTGTGTTGTTTAATATCTCTATACCAGTTTTCCTCATCTGTGTTTCTGTGTAAAGTCCCTGAGTTAATTTCTGTAAACTACTTCTAAAGCCCTTGGCACACAGTAAGTGCTCAATAATGGTTATGTTAGTTTTTATTAATACTATTACTACTTCTGTCACAAAAATTATCACACATTAATCTTTGAGTTTCTCATCGCAGTCCACACCACATCATTTTTCTATGCCACAGTGCATGAGGAACCAAATTTGATAGAATACCCCTTAATCATTGAGCTAGATTTATTGAAAAATACAAATAATTCAATATTCTCTAGTTGTACTATTTAACTTAGCTTATGTTAGTTTTAATAATATTTAAGCAAGTGAATTTTAATTTTATTTGTGTTAATTTTAGATTCAGTTGTAAAATTGTATTTTAGCTTCAGAATAAGAATTATCACCCTCCCCCCATGTCTACAGCAATACCACCCTGAACACAACACATCCCGTCTGATCTTGGAAGCTAGACAGGGTCAGACCTGGTTTGTACCTGGATTGGAGGAGTAGCTCCCAGAGTTGCTTTGTGTGTAGTGAATTAGCAGTTGGACACTGCTTTCCATTTTATTGTTTTGGCATCATTTGCTGAAAAAAAGGCTTACTAAATGCAGTGTTGTTTATTAGATGGTAGGAAATGCTAAGTTCTTACGTACTTCCCCTGGACTCTGCATAATAACATAACCCAGTTCTCTGACATCTTTCACTACTAAAATGAATTTTTGAACCATTATTTCACCTTTCATAATTTTCAAGACCAATAATGTTTGTAAGAAATATCAAAAATCATGTTGCCACCCTAATTTTTAAACGCCTTCTGGAATCATAGGGCAGATGTCGGGACTCTTTGGATTCATTGGCACCTTTGATGAATGGTCTCTCAAGTGGAAAAGTTCTAAGAGTGCTCAGATGGAATGGCACCTAGCGTTTTCATCTTGTAGTAACAAACAAATCAAAGGAAGACACTGTAAGGACTTAGTACTTGGAGGTCTAATTTTATATTTGAAAGTTAAAGAAAAATGGAAATTATAGGATAAGCTTTTGCCCAAAGGACAGAAATACTTGAGATGAGTCAAGTATGATAAGGAAGTACTTACATATGCTTGATGATGGGTTGTAAAGAAGGAACTCTCACATTCTGCTTGTTGATCTTCTTTCTCTTTCCAAAATGCAGTCACAAATTGGACTTTTTAGAGCTGACAAATGGCCTAGATGAAATGTTTCACAGAAAACAGCAGAATTTAGAGCAGTATTATATTATTTCTTTGTTAAATTGAATTTTTTGGGTATGTTTAGTTGGTTAATCTCTAGCAAGTGGATCAAGTATAAAACTTTAGAAAAGAAACGTACTGGTAACCCTGTCAAACATAACAGGTTAGGAATAGTGGTAACAGGGAGAAATAAAAACATGACAAAGTTAAAATGGTTGATGACAGCAGGATTCTGGGTTAGTACAGTGAAGGTACATGAATATGGGGAATAACCAGAGATACGTTGGTAATCCTCAGATGGACTGATTTCATAGGAGGCATTATTCGGGCAGAAGTCCCATTTACCTGAGTTCAAGAGAGAACAGTTAAGTATTCTTAATTGTTAAGTGTTGATAAGAGAAGAGTTAAGTATTGATAACTCTTGAGGATCTTTGTTATAGGGAGACTAGAGTAATGAGGTAATAGCTAGAGAGAGATGTTGGGTTAAGGAGAAGAGTTTTTTTTCTTTTTTTTTTTAATTTTTGTTTTTTGGGTTTTTTTAAACCCTGGGAAATATTTTAACATGTTTGCCCATAGATGATGTGGTTCATTAAAATGGAAAAGTTAATCAGGTAGGGAGATTGGGGGCAGTTTCTGCAGCATTGACTTTAGATTGGCAAGAAGGAATGGGAAGCCACCGTATAAATTCAGGGGTTGTCTTTGGAGAAGAACATGAACAGCGTACCCATGGTAACAGGTGGGAGGGCAAAATACATGGAAATGAATATAGATAGGTTATTGCTGCAATACTGAGAGAAGTTCATCCAGTTTTCTTCTGATTGCTTCAGTTTTCCAGTGAATTTTCCAGTTTTTTAACTTAGAGTATCTGAGAGAGGGGGAGAGGAAATGGACTAGGAAATTGCAAAAGCCAAGAGAGCTCCAGGAAACCATATATTTCAAGAGGAACACATGGCCTGCTTGTGTATGTACATTACCCACTTGGCCCTTAAATTGATTGTTGGAATCCCTGTTGTATTTTCTGTCTTTTGGAAAGTTACTTCTCTCTTATTTCTCAGTGCCCTTTTGGTAGGGGGAAATTAAAAAATACCCGTTTCTTTGAGTAAGGTTAGTTGTCTATTTTGTCCTGATAAAAAGTTAATTAAACAGCAAAGTATTTTTTGAGAATTTCCTGGGTCCATATATAGCCAATCACTCTGTTGTATTTATTGTTGCTAATTAGAGTGTCAAAATTAAAGAAGAGGACTACTGATACTGATATTCTGGATTTCACTTTGGGATTCTTTTTCAGTTTTTAAAAAAATCAAACATTTTTTTATTCTTCTTTTAGATGTTCTTAATAGTTGCTCCTCTTTCTGTCCTCTACAACTGGAAGGATGAGTTGGACACCTGGGGATATTTCAGAGTCACTGTTTTACATGGAAACAGAAAAGATAATGAACTAATTCGTGTAAAGCAGAGGAAATGTGAAATTGCCCTGACAACTTACGAAACGTTGCGCTTATGCCTAGATGAACTTAACAGGTAACGAGAATAACAAGAATGATTGTATTAATTTTCTGCTTCCATCCCTTTATATTATTATTATTTATTGTTATTTTTTGAGACAGAGTCTTGGCTGTCTCTCGGCTGGAGTGCGGTGGCAAAATCTTGGATCACTGCAGCCTCCACCTCCCAGGTTCAGGCAATTCTCATGCCTCAGCCTCCCGAGTAACTGGGACTACAGGCACACGTAATGATGCCTGGCTAACTTTTTGAGTTTTTAGTAGAGATGGAGTTTTTCACCGTGTTGCCCAGGCTGGTCTCAAACTCCTGAGCTTAGGCAGTCCGCCCACCTCAGCCTGCCAAAGTGCTAGGATTACAGGCGTGAGCCACCGTGCCCAGCCTATACTGTGATTTTTAAAAAAGCTCTCATTATTCCTTTGCTTGAGTTAATTTCCTTTTAGAATTATTGAAATATTTAGTTCATATTAACTTACTCTTTGGAAAGGAAAAACCTGCATTAAGTTTTCTAGAATTTCTTACTCTGTTTCTTACAGTGAATACAGGATACCTCTTCAAACAGTGATTGTTAAAGAATGATAAGACTTGTCCTAAATCTCATGTACAGCCTTTTATGCAGACAGTGCCTCTGAACTAGGTCAGTGATTTTCATAAATTATTTCAATTATGAGAGTCTGTTGTGAATGTAGAGTGGCAAAAAATACACACACGCATGCACAGAACCACTGTAGCGTAGTGTGTAAGACAGAAGTGGCCAAGAGGCAACACCAGTAATACAGCAGGGAATAGATTATAGAGAGTATTGGAAGGTACTTCGAGGATTCTGATCTTTATCCTGAGAGCAGCAGAGTGCCCCTTACAGTGTTGTCACCAGATTAGCGGCAGGATAAAAACGATGAGATTTGTACTTTGTAAGTACCGTAGCTGCTGTGTTTGCGGATAGAGGAGCGCCGAGCTGAGTGGAGAAAGACCAGTTAAGAGGCTTGTTACGTGCTGAATTTTGTCACTTCACCTCAACTCCCCTTCCGCAATGTGTATGTACAGCTCTCAGCCCCAGTACTTCAGAATGTAACCGTGTTTAGAGACAGGTCTCTTTGATTAAGTTTTAAAGAGGTGATTGAGACCGAGGCTGATTGGGTGGGGCCTGGGTTCGTTATGACTGGTATCCTTATGTGAAGAGAAAGGGACACCAGGGACACACCGCACGTTACAAGGGAAAGGACTTGTGAGGGCACAGCAAGAAGGCCGTCGGCTTGCAAGCCAAGGGGAGAGGCCTCAGGAGAAACCACACTGGCTGACACCTTGCTCTTGAAATTCTAGCTTGCAGGATTGTGAGGAAATACAATCGGGTTGTTTTAAGCCATCCAGTCTGTGCTATTTTATTTTGGTAGCCCTAGGATACCAATGCCAGGCTCTTAGAGTAGTTTGGTCAAGGCACCATGCTAGTGAGGTCTGAACTCTTCATAGTTGTTCGAGCAGCAGGCTGGGCCTTGGTAAAATCATTAACTTCCATCTGCTTGTAGCCTAATTTCTTTCTACAGGGATACAATTTATACCTTTTAGGTGAAGATTAAAGTGTGGCATTAGAAACAGTTATCTAATAAGTTTTTTAAATGTTTAGATGTTATAGTTACACTCAATTTGAAGTATTGCTAATGAAGGAATTCATGATATTCCCCCCAAGTCAACCGAAGCTTAGAAAACCGGGTTATTTTTTAAGGTGATGCTTTCACATCAGCATTAAAATGATTTGGCATAGGATAAAAATGAAGAACAACAGTCGATAGTTGTCTCAGATTTTATAAGCACAAAATAAAGAGTAAAAACAGTTACTCATTACCTATGTGGCTTTGGGTAAATTGGCTCATCTGGAAAATGACAGAGGATGAATTAAATCTGTCTTTGTGAAAACTAGCTCCTCAAGCCCAGCTGGAGAATTTTATTAAAATCAACTTTAGGCCGGTGCGGTGGCTCAAGCCTGTAATCCCAGCACTTTGGGAGGCCGAGGCGGGTGGATCACAAGGTCAAGAGATCGAGACCATCCTGGTCAACATGGTGAAACCCCGTCTCTACTAAAAAAAAAAAATACAAAAAATTAGCTGGGCATGGTGGCACGTGCCTGTAATCCCAGCTACTCAGGAGGCTGAGGCAGGAGAATTGCTTGAACCCAGGAGGCGGAGGTTGCGGTGAGCCGAGATCGCGCCATTGCACTCCAGCCTGGGTAACAAAAGTGAAACTCCGTCTCAAAAAAAAAAAAAAAAAAAAAACTTTAGTGAGATTTAATTTGTATATAATAATTATACCATTTCAAGTATACAGTTTAATGAATCTTGACCAGGGATTGGTGTCCTTTTTCTGTAAAGGGCCAGATAGTGAATATCTTAGGCTTTTGGGCCACATACAGCGTTGGCTGCATATTTTTCTTTTTCGTGACACTTTAAAATGTAAAAACTACTCTTAACTTGCTGACCATACAAAAATGGCCATGGGCTGGATTTGGCTATGAGCATAGTATACTGACTCCTGGTTTTGACAGACGAGTGTAACCACTATCCCAAACAAAGTACAAACTATTTTTATCATCTCAGAGCCTTTACTTCTTTACAGTAGCCTTTCCGGCTTTCACCTTGGGCAGCTGCTGATTTTGATTGCTGTCACTGTAGATGAGTGTAAGCTGTCACGGAGCGTGTCAGTGGTGTTACACAGGAAGCACCCTGCTGTGTGTGGCGTCTTTTGTTCAGCGTGTTTTTTGAGATTCATTCACATTGTGGAGTAGATCAGTGATTGTTCTTTCTTAATGTTGCATTGTATTCCATTTTGTCAGTATGCACGTTTTCTTACCCGTCCATCTGAGAATAGATTTTGGGGTTTTTCCCGTTTTTGATTATTATAGATACAACTTCAAGGGATATTTGTGTGTAAGCCTCTTTTGGACGGATGTTTTCATTTCTCTTGGAGTAGAATTTCTGGACTGTATGGTTAACTGTAGGTTTAGCTTTAGAAGAAACTGCCAAACCATTTTCCACAGTGGTTTTACTCTAGCTAGCAATGTGTGAGAGTTCAGTGCATCATATTCTCAGCAATATTTGGTATTGTCAGTCTTTTTGTTTAGCTGTTTTAGTAGGTGTGTAGTAGTATCTTGTAATTTGCGTTTTTCTGATCCATGTGCACTTGGGAAAAAATGTTTTTTCTGCAATTAGTGGGTGTAGTGTTCTATAAACGTCAGTAAGACTAGATTGGTTAAGGTATTGTTCACGTGTTTTCTGTCTTTGCTGATTTCCTTTTAGGTTGGCTTATAGTATCTGAGAGAGGAGAGTTGAAATTTTCAGTTATAATTGTAGATATATTTATTTCTCCTTTCACTTCTGTCAGCATTTAATTTAGTATTTTGAAGTTCTTTTATGAGGTGTATGTGCATTTATGTTTGTTACTTTTCCTGATGAATTGATCCTTGTATCCTTAAAAAAAAGGACCTATTTATTTCTAATAATGTCTCTTATCTTGATGTTTTATCTGATATTAGCATAGCCATATTGTGGTACATCTCAGTAGTTTGCTCCTTTTTATCGTTGAATGGTACTGTTACATGGCTATCCCATATTTTATCCATTTGCCAGTTGATGGATATTCAAATTGTTTCCAGTTTTTGGCTATATGAATAATACTGTTGTCTTATGCTGAGTCTTATGCTTACTGCATATGAATAGCTTTTCATGTTTTTATTTCAGTACGTTTGTTCTTAACATTTGGAGTGAGTCTCTTATAGTGCCGTCTCGCCTTTTCAACCATTCAGATAATCTTTGCCTTTTATTTGGGATATATAGACCATTCACTTTGAATATGATTGGTAAAGTTGGATTTAGAGCTACCATTTTTGTAAGGTCTGGGATTTAATTGTATAAAGCAAACTTATAAGCTAATAAATTAGCCTGTTACTATTTCATGGATCCTGAGAGAAGACAGACTAATCTGAGGCATGGAGAGGTCACATAATTTTTCTAGGCCTCCACAGCCAGGAGGACGTGAGGTTTGAGCATTGATCATCTGCTGCCAGACCTCAGGTTTGGTTTGGTTTCTGAGACAGAGCCTTGCTCTGTTGCCTCGGCTGGAGTGCAGTGGTGCTGTCACTGCTCAGTACAGCCTCAGTCTACCACCTCAGTCTCCCGGGCAATGGGACTACAGGCATGCACCACCATGCCTGGAAAGTGTTTATTTTTTCACAGAGACAGAGTCTCCCTGTGTTGCCCAGGTTGATCTCAAACTTCTAGACTCAAGTGATCTTCCCACCTTGGCCTCTCAGAGTGCTGGGATTGCAGGTGGGAGCCACCATGCCTGGCCAGACCTTAGGTTTTTAACCGATATACTATACCACCCCAAAAGATGTTTTGCTGTTAAATAAATATAATAAATTCATGTATCATAGCATGAGGCATATTTTAATTATTTCTTACCTGTCTGTCTCCTTAGACTGTAAGCTCTTTGATGTAGGAGAGTTTTAATTTCTGTATCCCAGTGCTTATTACACTTTTAGCACATGAGAGTTGCCAAATAAATGTTTTTAGGTTGCTGTTTTTTCTGTGATTGTTATAAATATTAAACAAATTCTGAAGTAGAATTATATAACCAATCATATATTTATAAGATTAGAAGAATCAAAATATTATGATTTTTGTTGTATTTAGTTGTATTTATTAGTTCCAATGCCTTTATGTTGTGTTTGGCAAATATTTAAAACAATTAATATTTTACCTGAGCAAACAGTAAGTTGTTCTTGTGAGGTTAGTGCTCTGGGCATTCATCACGATAGTCCACGGAGAGGATGAATCACGCTAGGTAACATAAGGAGCTATTGCTTTTTTCTTATTGCTGTTATGTTTTTTTCTTTATTTCAGTTTCTGTCAGAGTTACATATGCATATGATTTAAAGAGCTAAATATGATAAAAGGCTTTTAGTGAAACACTGCAGTTCACGGCCCCCCAATCGCCTTCACCTCAGCGCTCGCCCATCTTTGTATTCTTTACCTCCTTACTGCTATAGAACATGCTTATGCTGCAACTTTAACATTTTTCTTTAGTTTTCAGCATCATCTGTTGATTTCTTCTTAAGGAAAATGAGGATTTTGCTGTGTTTTGCCCTTCTCTTGCCTGCTGTGAGATGACCTGACGCATCTACTTTGTGCAGTGGCAGGATTCTTAAACAGACTATTATTGAACGTTTACATGACTCCAATTTCCAGAGACATCGGGGGCCACCCATTCGTAACTTTTCAGGAACTAAATAATATGAATTAGATTGCTTCTTGGCTTTTTTTACTCTTGACATAGGATGCTGTAGTCTCTGCTTTTCTAAGTCATCTTGTCTGTGTTCTTTTCAGCTTCTAGAATTTTTGCTATTTTTTCCTCTCTTTCTCCTTGAGGCTTCTAGCTTTTTTCAGCTTTATATTAAGAAAATGATGAAACCTATAGAAAATTTAATGGTACATGAACATCCACCCATATTCTCAGCATCTAGATTCAACAGGGGTGTGTGTGTGTGTGTGTGTGTGTGTGTGTGTATTTTTTCAAATGTTGGCAAAATATAAGTTAATGTATGTAAACGTGTGTGCCTGTGTCTTTGTATATAGGGGAGGTAATCAATCATTTCAACAAGTTGCATAAAACACAACATCTTTAAGTTTTTTAGCATGGATTTCCTAAAACTAGTGATATTTGTTGTCATACCACAATATCACTGTCACACACAAGAAAATTAATAACAATTAAAATTTCCTCAGTTATTCTCAAAACATTTTTAATATCTAGTATGTATAAAGTAGGATTCAGTAAAGGTTCAGATGAAGAATTTGGCTAAGTCTGTCTATTTTCTTCCTGTATACATCATTTTTCCAACTTTTACTTTTTAATTATATGACTTTTTGAGGGGACCAGGCCAGTTAGATGTCTTTTAGGATATCTCATATATTAGATTCGTCTGATTACTTTCTCAAGATACATTCATCTGTCATTTGTATTTTAGTAAGGTAGTTTTGGCCCAAAGGCTTAAATAGATTCAGATTAAACACTTTTGGCAAGAATCCTTCACAAATGATGTTGTGGACTTCAACTTGCATCACTTCAGGAAGTGTTCATGTCAGGTTGTTCGACTGTCAGTGATGCCAAGTTTGCCCCACAGGTTAAGGACGTTACCATCATCAGATCTCTCCATTGTAAAGATATGCTTCTCCCTTTATAATGAGCAGATGAACTGTGGAGTGATACTTTGCCACCATTTAAATATTCTGGTATCCCTCAGTCCTTTTACTTAGTAGTATTAGCATACACAAATTATTCTTGTCGGAATCAGTTACTTTACTAGGTTTGGCAAAATAATGTTTTTCTAGTTTTATTATTTCTTTTCTGTATGTTAATGGTATTCTCCTGTAAAGGAAAGCTTTCTTCATTAATTAGGAATTAACTACAATTTTGACTTTAAAAAAGCCAGGTGAATGCTTGATTCTTTTGCTTTAATGACCACTTTTTGGAGTAGGAAGTTAGCATAATGGTCATCTACAGTGGTGGCAAAATTTCTCACCCTCTTCTCCTTTCTTTCTCCACCCCCCCTTTTTTGTGTATGTGAGTATCACTGTGGATTCGGGCATTATTTAAGTATAGTTGACATAAAATGTACTCTTGTAACTTAGAATGGTTTTTGGTAAATTTTAAAAGTTGTGCAGTTATTACTACAATCTAGGTGTAGAACATTTCCATCACCTCAGAAAGTTATTTGTCTGTAGTCAGTCCCTGCTTCCATCTGCAGCCCCTAGCAACCACTGATGTGCTTTCTGTCTCTATAGATTTGCCTTAACTGGACGTTTCATATAAATGGAGCCATTCAAGAGAAAGCCTTTGGTGGCTGGCTTCTTTCGCTTAACATGATATTTTTGAAGTTCATTTATATTGTGGTACATTTCGGTAGTTTGTTCCTTTTTCTTGCTGAATGGTACCGTTATATGGCTATTCTGTATTTTGCCCTTTCACCAGTTGATGAACATTTGAATTGTTTCCAGTTTATGGCTATGCAACTACGCTGCTGTGAACATTCACATACAAGCCTTTGCACCTAAGTTTTCATTTTTCTTGGATAGATACACAGGAATGGAATTGTGAGGTCTTACACTCAGTATGTTTAACTTTTTAAGAAACTGCCAACTGTTTTAGAACAGTTGCTGTGCTTTCTCAAAAGCAGTGTATAAGGATTCTAGTTTCTCTGCATCCTTATTAACACTTGGTATTTTAAATCATTTTTATCATTGCCATTCTAGTTTTAATTTGCAGTTCTCTGAATACGATGTTGAGAATATTTTCATGTACTTATTTGCCATCTGTATATCTTCAAGCAGACATTTTGTGAAATGTCTATTAGAATCTTTTGCTTATGTTTTAATTGGGTTTTTAAAATTTTGTTGACTTGTAATAATTCTGTGTTATTGTTTTTTTTGTTTTGTTTTTTGAACGGAGTCTGTCTCTGTCACCAGCCTAGAGTGCGGTGGCATGATCTTGGTTCACTGCAACCTCTGACTCCCTGGTTCAAGTGATTCACCTGCCTCAGCCTCCTGCGTAGCTGGGATTACAGGCAGGCGCCACCATGCCCAGCTAATTTTGTATTTTTAGTAGAGACAGCGTTTCATCATGTTGGTCAGGGTGATCTTGATCTCCTGACCTTGTGATCCGCCCGCCTTGGCCTCCCAAAGTTCTGGATTACAGGTGTGAGCCACTGTGCCCAGCCCAGTTGTAATAATTCTTTATATATTCTGTATACAAGTTCTTTATCAGATTATGATTTGCAAATATTTCTGCCCAGTCTGTAGCATGTTTTTTTATTTTTTTCATGGTGTCATTGGAAGAGCAAAAGTTTTTAACTTTGATGAAGTCCAACTTATCACATTATTTTTAATTGACTATAAATTTTGTGTCACATCTAAGAAATACGTGCCTAATCCAGAGTCACAAATGTTTTTTTCCTGTGTTTTAAAAGTTTTAGTTTATATTTAGGTCTATGATCTGTTTTTAGTTAATTTTCATGTGTGATGTGAAGTAAGGGTCTAAATTCATGTTTCATAGAACTCCTGGATTTTTGTTCATTCAATATTTTATATTCAATTGTAGTTAATATTCTTAATGATGCCCAAATATTCCAAATAGGCTGGCGTCTCTGTTCTTTGGACGTATTCGCATTTGCATTTGGATACATCTGTGCTTTTCCACTGTTGAGTGTTCCCCCAACACATGCCTGAAATCAACTGTTTCTCCATTTTTCCATGAGGCTCTAGTTCCTTTTGGTGACGAGACCACTAGGGGTGATCATTGCTACTGGGGTAACAGTCAATTCTAAAGTTTCTTAGTGGACAGGGCTGTGTAATACAGCTTTTAAAAATCATGAGTTTATATTGATATTTTTCATTCAGATTTAATGTTGCAAGTTTTATTTCTTTTATATTTGTTTTTCTGGTTTAATTCCAATAAGGTAATTTAAAAAAATCCTTTATTGTCATTTCAGTGATGTTTAAATGAAATTTGTCTTTTTAACATCTTTAAAGAATGTCTATACCCTTTTATCTTCTCTATGCATTTTATTTTTGTGGACTGTCCAAGACTGTGACCATTTAACTGAAGAGGCAAGAATCCAATGGAATCATCAAAAAGTAAAAAGGAGAAAAACTTTGATAGAGAAAGCTACTCTCTAAAAATTCTATTGACTGAGAAAGGAAGTTTTCTCAACCTTAACCTTCTTTTTCCTTACTTTATAGTTTGGAATGGTCAGCTATCATTGTGGATGAAGCTCATAGAATCAAGAATCCAAAAGCCAGAGTAACAGAAGTTATGAAAGCTTTGAAATGTAATGTCCGCATTGGCCTCACTGGAACCATTCTTCAAAACAACATGAAGGAACTGTGGTGTGTTATGGACTGGTGAGGGAAAACACTTTTTAAAAAATTATTTTATAGTACTTCAGCTGAATACTATCTTGTTTGCTAATTATTAGTGTCCAAACAAACAAAACAATCGTTTGTCTGTTTTTAGATGTGTTTGACCCCAAATGTATATGGGGAGGCCTATGAAAACCTATCTTTTTATTTATTACTCTTGGTCACTAAAGTAAATACACATGCTAACTGCCAGTCTCATCCTCATATTATAGTTATAACCTGAAACTGTCATAAAGAAAGAACATTCTGTTTTCTTGGCTTCTGTTTTTGTTACCATTAGTAATCAAGTAATGTAGTATATCTCTTAGAAGCAAGAAGTCAGTGTTTTTCTTTTTAGGTAATAAAACCCTCACGTTTTTCTTATTGTCTTCCTAAAGGGCTGTGCCAGGTCTTTTAGGGAGCAACTCCTACTTCAAGAAGCAGTTTTCTGACCCAGTAGAACATGGTCAGAGACACACAGCAACCAAGAGAGAACTAGCCACTGGCCGAAAGGCCATGCAAAGGCTTGCCAAAAAGATGTCTGGTTGGTTTCTCAGGCGCACCAAGACTCTTATCAAGGATCAGTTGCCTAAGAAGGAAGACCGGGTAAGAACTGCATTTGTGTATATTATTAATTTCTGGTCATATTTTATTCTATTTTATTTTTTTTCTTTTTAAGAAAAAGTCTGTCTCCTGTGGTATTTTATGAATATAGTTTTTGCCTTTTACTCTGTATGGAAAAAAATGGTTACATGCAGAGTTTCAGAAACCATTGTGAGCTCAGTTGTTCTCCTTACTGACTTTACTAACCTGTTAGCTAACAGGTTTATTATTAGTATACATTAAACTCATTTCTCATTAAAAAAAAATTTTTTTTTGAGACTGCCTCTGTTGCCCAGGCTGAAGTGCAGTGGTGTGATATCAGCTCACTGCAATTTCCGCCTCCCGATTTCAAGCGATTCTCCTGCCTCAGCCTCTCGAGTAGCTGAGATTACAGACGGGAGCCACCACAATGCCTGGCTATTTTTTTTTTTTTTTTTTTTTTTAGTAGAGACAGGGTTTCACTATGTTGTCAAGGCTGGTCTTGAACTCCTGACCTCAGGTGATCCACCTACCTCACCCTCCCAAAGTAGTGGTATTACAGGCATGAGCCACCACTCCTGGCCTCATCAAAACTTTTGATAGAATTTTTGCCAATAAAGAAGGAAGAGCTTTTCTCTGCAATGTGCTTTCTGTTCACACTTTGTCCTTCCCATACTGTCTATTGTCTACCACACAGGGTGTTCTTTGGTACCTTAATTCTAGCTGTAGGACCAGAGTGATTAATAGCTTTTTAAAAAATAGGTAGGTCTGTTTCTTGTAGAATGCTATTTGCAGTTAGACAACTAACCTAACTTTTCGAATTTGTAGGAAAACTGTGTTGTTAAATTGTTTAAGAAAATATGAGGAATGGACTTTAAGAATATATATTTTTTTAATATAGCGGTCTTCTTTTATAGTTTTTAATCTTGTGTTTCTTCTAGCTTGGGTGATGGAATAAAGGTTCTACAAATTACTATGGAACTAAACCTAATTAATGTCCCAAGTAAGGGCAGTCCCATGAAATGCCCTCTAATTTTAGTATATCCTCTTGATTGTTACTTTCAAAAGATAGATTTGAAAGGAAAATATGTTATTAAATTGAGATACTTCATGGACTCTCGTGTATGTGATTTAGCTATCTGTCTAGTAGGAACAACACAAAAGTATAAGGAGAGAATTGTGCATCGAGGTTTAGAACTTGGGCTCTGAAATCAAATACTATGAGCGTAAATCCTAGCTCCTCTGCGTAGAGTTTTGTGACTTGGAGCAATTTGTGAGGCTCTCAGACCTGGGTTTCTTCTCTGTTAAATGGGAGTGATGTTAGTAGTGCCTGCCTCACTTGGTTGCTCTGAAATGCATGGCATGTAAGAAATCTTGAGTAATTGACACTATGTTTAATAATACTAAATAATTCAAGATACCTTCGTACTTCATTGACAACCATCTTCTATATTCACTTTTTTTCTTAAATGTACTTTTATATTTAATGGTGGAGTCAAGCTGCACTAAATATTTTATGAAAACATTTTTTAAAAATCTACTGTTGGGAGGGGCAGGCTCGATGTGTGCTGCCATGCATCTGTCTTCAGTCTGCTTTGGGTCTTCAAAAAATAAAAGATAAAACTAGCTTCCGATAGAGCTCTGGTCATCCTGGCTAAAGGAGCAGAGGAAATGGAGATAGTCTTCCCTGTAGACGTCATGAGACAAGCTGAGATTTAAGTCACCATTGCAGATCTGGCTGGAAAATACCCAGTACAGTGTAGCCGTGATGATGTTATTTGTCCCGATGTCAGTCTAGAAGATGCAAAAAAGAGGGACCAAGTGACAAGAGGTTTGTAACAGGAGATAATCTGGGTGCACAGATTTTATTTGAGTCTGCTGCCTTAGGAGAGATACTGAAGGAAGAAGAAAATGGGAAGGGCCTCATAGCTACTACCTATGCAGGTTCTGCTGGTCTGCTGGCTCCTGAAATAGGTTTTGGAAGTAAAGTTACAACATACCTACTTGCTAAAGACAAAATGATGAATGGAAGTCATTACAGCTACCCTGAGAATTGGGTGGAAAAGGACAGCCTGATTTTTACAAGTCAAGGGCCCAGGACTGGCTTCGCCTTTGCTCTTGGGATTGTTGAGGCCTAAGAGGAGGTGGTGGCTGAAGTGAAGGCTTCACTTGTTCTTGAAGACCAGAGCAAAAAAATGTGATGATCAGTTAGAGAAATAGGCCATTTGGAATCCATTCTCACTGTGTTTGCTTTAAACAGAAAAATGGTAGGTTAGTACGCTGAAAAGCCATCGCCATTCCTGCTTTTGTGAAGTACAGTTGTGAAGTAACAACCACATAGAGGTTTCTCAACCTACAAATTGTGTCTCTCGCCCAGGCCAGAGTGTTACGGCATGATCTCGGCTCACTGCAGCCTCTGCCCTCGCAGTTCAAGCTGTTCTGTCTCAGCCTCCCGATTAGCTCGGACTACAGGCGCACTCCACCACGCCCAGCTAATTTCTGTATTTTTAGTAGAGGTGGGGTTTTACCATATTGGCCAGGCCGGTCTGACCTCAGGTGATCCGCCTGCCTCAGCCTCCCAAAGTGCTGGGATTACAGGCATGGGCCATTGCGCCTGGCCTGTATCTACATTTCTGAGCCTTGTTTATGGAATAAACAGGACATTTTGGGGAAAAAAACATTGTTTTATCTAGACATTACCATATTTGTTTGTATGCCCCTTTGCCTATTGGCAATAATATTCTGCTGTGGTGATATAAGCATATAAATATTTACAACTATTCATATTTTACACATATAAAAAATGTCAGTGCTTTGTCCCTGAAGTCAGGAAGTGCCTTGCCCGGTAAAGGACTGCCTTTTAAAGTTCTTCTGATACTGGGCAATCCTTGTGACCACCCAGAAGCCTGTGAGTTCAACACCAAAGATGTCAAAGTGGTCCATGTGCCCCCAAACACAACATGTCTAATTCAGCTTTTAGTTCAGAGGGTCTCATTACACATGGTCCTCTACGGAAAGAACAGTAAGTGCTGTGGAGGAGAACCCTGATAGAATACCACGAATGTCTGGAAGGATCAGACCATATGAAGATACCATCATCGTTCTAGAAAAAGCCATGAAAGCCATCAATCCTGGAGTAGTAAAATCCTGCTGGAGAAGACTATGTCCACATGTTGTGCATGACTTCAAAGGATGACATACTTTTATGACGGAGCCAGTCTGTGAAATGATGAGAGATTGTGGATATGGCAAAAAAAGGTGAAGGGTGAAGGATTTCAAGATACGGATCTTAGAGAAATTCAAGAGCTAATTTAAAGAAATACAGGACACCATACCAAAGGAACTGATTGAAGTCGACTTGATGGAAATAAGTGCTTTCAAAACAGTGCCAGACAATGAGGAACAAGACGTAGAAAAAGCAGTAGAAAACAAATTGACATAAAATAATCTGGCAGAGGAGGTCTGATGATTTGAGATTGCTTTTGACTTCTTTTGTGACCTGGACCCTTCTGTGATATGGGCACTGAAAGTAAAGCAACTGGTGGAAGAAGGACTGGCACCATACAGGAACATTTTTTAGAGAAATGAAAAGCAAAAAAGTCAGACAGAAATCGCAACGTGTTTCTGCACAGTTCCTCCAAGCGTGTCTCCTTCTCCTGCCTCCACTGACTCCCTTTCACTGCCTTTGCCTCTTCATTTTGCTGCCCATGAGACAAGGCCAGCCTGTCCTCTTCCTTGTCCTCCTCAGCGTGGCCGGTACGAAGCCCTTCGTGATGACCTACTTCCACGTCATGAACAGTAAAGATATTTTTGCCGCCTTACAATTTTCTTAATAACATTTTTTCTAGTTTCATTATGAGAATATAGGATATAATAGTCATACAAACTATGTGTTCATCAACTGTTTATGCCATTGTTAAGGCTTCTGGTCAACAGTAGGCTATTAGTAGTTACGTTTTTGGGGAGTCAGAAGTTATACATGGACTTTTGATGATGCGGGGAGTTGGCACCTGTAGCGCCTTCCATGTTCAAGGGTCAGTTGTGTAAGGAAATCATCATTTGTTTGTTCATATTATGATTTCTTTCAATTAAAATACTATGAAGTTTATTTGAAAATGAAATCATACTTTATATTATCTAGGGTGGGTAGAGTAAAGAATGTAAGCGAATTGGGAGAAATCATCACCATGTAAATAGAGGGAAACATAGTTTATAGTAACTTTCACTATTATAATTATGAAATCAGATGTAGATTGTGATTTTTATTATTGCTATATACAAAATACTAATAACTACCTTGTATTTTATCTTGGCAGATGGTGTATTGTTCTTTGACAGATTTCCAGAAAGCTGTGTATCAGACAGTGCTGGAAACAGAGGATGTGACTCTGATACTTCAATCTTCTGAGCCTTGTACCTGTAGCAGTGGCCGAAAAAGGAGAAATTGTTGTTATAAGGTAAGCATGTCAGTATATCTTTATAATCTTGCTTTTGATTACATAGTTCTCTTTTCTAGTGTAAAGTAAAAAGTAGCTTTTCCTCAGACAGTTCTTTAAAGCTCTGTCTTAAAAAAAGAATGGTTTTCAAAAGTATTTTATAATATCAAATGTAATTACATACAAAAATACATATTCAAATAGATTTTCAAAAAGTTAATTTTAGAAAGTAAGCTTAATTTTTATATCCTCCATTTTAGCTTTTTTTGGGAAGTAACCTACTTTCATCTTCAAATTTCATTTCATTTTCAAGAAGTTTCTCATTTTCCACTAATAGTAACCGAACATACTCTTGTATAGCAGGCTTAAAATACTATTCTGATGTTAGATACAGTATCAATGTAATAGAAACTCTGTATAAAAGAAAGTGGGTTTTTTTTAAGAATCAACATTTATTTGTACTTTTTTTAACCTTCTGTTTGTATTTCCTGCTCATGTTTCACCTCTGTTTTATTAAATTATCTGTCACATATCTGAGTACGTAGAGGAACCCTAAGTGAATATTTATCTAGATTGATATTTAGTCAGTCTCATTTTGCTGTTTTTAACTACTTCCCTTTTTTTAATAGCCCAGTTTCCTCGGAGCCTTGGAGCCTAAATGGGAAGAAGGGGTCCGCATATCACTGTTACTGCACTGTAGATTTCATTACCAGGCACCTCCTAAGAGCAGCATTTCCATCACTGTGTGTCATGAGGATAAATGCTTTCTGTAATGAGGATTTTCCCCTCTCTTTTATGAAAAATACCATTGTGTTATGATTTACCAAAAGGTGTGATTCCACGTTAGTGATTTGTGGATATTTTATATAATAGTTGACTATCATTTTCCTGGAATTTTATTGTGCCAGTTACCAGATAATAAATATTATTGTAAGTGACATATTTTATGATGTAAGCAGGTGCATAGCTATGTTAGTTGTTTTTATTTTTTATGTTTTTCTGGTTACAGACCAATTCTCATGGTGAAACAGTGAAAACCTTGTATCTCAGTTACCTTACAGTCCTTCAGAAGGTAGCTAACCATGTCGCACTGCTGCAAGCTGCTAGTACCTCCAAACAGCAGGTTTGGTTGACATTTTACATTTCTTTGTGATGCTACTGGTGTAAATATTTTATAAAGTTTTAAAATAAAGTTATTAAAGAATGTATTTTTGGATGAAATTTAAGAGGAAACTGACTTGCTTATTTTTATTATGTAGATATCAAGGAGTATGTGCACTTAAGTTTTTAATCAAAGTGAACAAATTTCAGCTTAATTTAAAATAATTATTTTTTATGCCTTTAATAATGTTCATGTCTTAATTTTTCAAAACATTCTTTGGTATAATTACTAAATAACATATTTGATGAGTCACTTCTATTGCTCTAATAATGTGTGTAATGGTGTTTAATCTACTAGGTAAAATGAGCATTTATAATAACTTACATTAAGTATTGAGGCTGTTTACCAAACTGGCTAAAATCAGTAATTTCCAAGTTTAGGTTTAAATCCAATCCTTTACTTTGGTTCTTTTACTCCAGAGCACACCTAAATGAAAAGGTGTTTTTGTAATGATTTTATATTTTCTTTCTATGTTATAGTTGATGCCATTTAAATGTAATTTTGAAATCTCATAAGAATTTGATATTGTTCTTTGATAGTACTCTTTACTCTTTTTGGGAGTATTCAGCACCTTGTTTTGGAAATCTTAAAAAATCTTTAAAAAGTAATGATCAAGTTAATAACCCACATCATTAAGAATTCATCAGTGCCATATATGTTTAACATACTATTTTAAGAGTTTCTGAATTCTTAGTCTGACTTAGGGAAGCAAAAATCTTTAAAGTAATACATTCTTTCTAAAAATAATTTTTTTCCAAGATTGTTTCAACTTTTTCAGGGTTAAATGTGTTAAGTGAAAATATCTTTTCTTCTGTCTTTTCCCAACAAGGAAACACTTATCAAAAGGATATGTGATCAGGTATTTTCCAGATTTCCAGATTTTGTGCAGAAAACCAAAGATGCAGCCTTTGAAACACTTTCTGACCCTAAATACAGTGGAAAAATGAAAGTAAGTGCTTTTCTTTCAGGTTGCATACAAACAGACATGATATACAAAATATTTATTCAGTGGTATGACAGAAACAGCAACTAATCAGTCCAGGTGCTCAATCATTCAGACGAGATGGTGGCTATCAACAGCTGGTGCAGTTATCAGCATTGATTAGGTCACTATGAACTCTGAATACAGATGTGTGCTTTTGGTAGGTTCTCGGTAGTATTTGCTTCAAATATACTTCAAATGTGTGCTGTTATCACATAGATAATAGCTTGTCTTCAAATGTTTAAGAAGATAACTTACCAGAAATATGCATGCTAATGCAAAATGGGGGTGGGGAGGTGGGGAGGGAGTGGTAAAGGCATTATCTTGTAATTAGAGAAAGGAATTTCTTGAAGAGTTCAAGACAGGCAAAGTCCATATGTCTAGAATTTTCTGCATGCTGTTTTTACCTGCAGACCCAGATTGTAAAGTTTCAAAGAGACATTTGTCAGACACGGGAAAACTGACCTGTAGCTGCGTTGCTATTGGTCATGTGTTACCAAGGGAGGGGTATGAAAAGTAAGGCTAAGTTCTCCAACCGTGACACAGGCCTTGGGCATTGCCTGTGGCAGCAACATAAAATGCTGACAGCTTCCCGCCTCCTTGCAACAGAGTTAGTTTGTTTAACCCCTTAATAACTATCAAGAATCTTTTATTTGTGGATTCACAGATTTTTACAGAACAATTCTCAACTTTGTTATAACTTTTAAAAGGTAAGTTATTTCTTTTGACAAAAGGAATTAAAAGGAAGTAATTCAAAGTAGTTTGTTTTTTAGAGGGGTTTTTGTTGTTTTTTTGAAGACGGAGTCCCACTCTGTCACCAGGCTGGAGTGCAGTAGCTCGATCTTGGCTCACTGCAGCCTCCACCTCCTGTTCAAGCGATTCTTCCGTGTCAGCCTCCTGAGTAGCCAGGACTACAGGTGCGCGCCACCATGCCCGGCTAATTTTTGTATTTTTAGTGGAGATGGGGTTTCGTTATGTTGGTCAGAATGGTACTTGCACCATTTAATCTAGATAAGCTCGTCATGGTCTAGTTTGCTTGTGACCACTAAAATCAATGAAATAAAATAGAAGGTAGGAGTATACATATAGTAAAGACTATTGCATTAAAAACTTAATGTTTCTTTAAAATAGATGTTTATATTAATGAGGATATCATGTGATTTATTTTCACAACAAATAATTCCAATTTAATTGTATTTTCTAAGCTAGCAAATATATTTTTGTCATCCATTTCATTGACTTTAATTATTTTTAAATTAAAATGATGCATATTTTAATTTAAAAATAATTATCATCTAACCAGGGTTAGAACTGAGCAGTTATTGTCTCACAGTTTAAGCCAATAGAATATTTCCAGAAATTATAGCCGCCTCTGAAAACTGCATTATCCATTGCTACTTATTTAAATCTTATTCCCTGTGACTCTTCACTAAAAAATTACCAGTGTTGAAATTAAAGTTTTATAACTGCATTTTATATTTTTTATATTTTTGTATTTTTTACATATTCATTAAAGCTATAATTGTAAGATACACTTCTAAAGTTAATCTTCCTAGGATTAATAGTGTCTGATTAAGAGAATAATTAGATTTAATTTAATTTTAATTTTTAGAAGGGAAAAGGCAAGCATAAATGGTTGCTGGAGGCTGAGTAGTATCTTTACATGTGAATGACGCAGGTAATTTATTTGCTTCCTGAGAGAACACCAACCACACAGAGGTGGCTAGTAATAACCTAGGGATATATTTTTAGGACTATGTTAAATCATTTGTTTAACAGTGTCATTTGATCATATATTGATTTGGTGATGCAGAACTTACAGGCTTATCATAGAATCATTGCCTATGGGTTTAAGAACGCCCAAGAATTGAGTTGCATGTACTTTTTGAATTCAGGTGATAAAAGGTCTTTGTTTGGCTTGGCTTGTCATAGGTCAGCCTGCAGGTGCATGGACTCTGTGAACAGAATGCCTGCTATAATCTTGATAGCCTCAGAGCTACACTCATGACCCCAGCTCTTTCTCTTGAGTGTCAGGGTTGTGACCTCAACTGTCATTCAAGGGGATAGTCACAAGTTGCAGGCATTCACCTGATAAAAATCCTCACTTTTCTTTCTCTTGAGAAGTGCCGCAGAGCCACTTACTGTGGAGGGTGGGAAAAAAGACTAGGAGCAGCTTGGTGCTGCCGAAGTCACACAAGGGTCATATTCATCTTTCTAGGCCTGACTGACCAGTTGAGAACAGTTAAGAGCCAAGATTCCTTGCTGTTAACCCCAAATCTGTGATTCCTTTATAGATGGATTGCCTTGTTCTGTGGAGGACAACTGACTGATAAAACACTGGATCTATATTGTTAAGACTCCAACTTATACGGATTGCATTGTCCTTTTGGAAATTCCTGGGACCTTAATTTACAGTCATTTATTTAGTTAGTCTCTTTAAACTAGCCTAATTAAGACCCCAGTTTAAAAAATTTACTTTTCCTCTGACTTGTTTTTGTTTTTACTGTAAAATATTTGAAAATACTTAAAATTGCAATAGGTATGATACCACCCCAAACAATAAGAATGGATTTCTATACAATATATCTTTGGTTTAAAATGTTAATAGCTTAAGAAGAATGAAAAACAAACCACAGACTGGGAGAAAATATTAGCAAAACAATAAAGGATTGGTTTACAAAATATACAAAGAACTCTTAAAGCTCAACAATAGGAAAGCAAGCAATCAAATTTAAAAATGGGCAAAGGATCTGAACAGATACTTCCCCAAAGAAGATAATAGAGATGGTGAAGCATATGAAAAGATGTTTAATGTTATATGTCATAAAAGAATTGCAAATTAAAACAGCAGTGAGATACCACTAGATACCTATTAAAATGGCCAAAATCCAGAATACTACAAGCCCAAATGCTGGTGAGGATGTGGAGTAATAAGTACCCATCCTGCTGCTGGTGGGAATGCAAAATGGTAAGTCACTTTGGAAGACAGTTTAGTGGTTTCTCGGGAAGCTCTTAACTAAAAAATATTACCTTAAATTCTTACCATACGATCCAGCAATTGTGCTCCTTGATATTTACCCAAATGAGTTAAAATGAATTAAATTTTAATGAGTTTTAATGAGTTAGAAACTTAAATCCACACAAGAACCTCACAGGAGTTTATTCATAATTGCCAAAGCTTAGAAGCAGCTGAGATGCCCTTCAGTAGGTAAATGGATAAACGAGCTGTGGTACAGCCATGCTGTGGAGTGCAATTCAGCAGTAAAAAGAAATGAGCTATCAGACTGCCCAAAGACATGGAAGAGCCCTAAATGCGTATTGCTGAGTGAAGGAAACCAGTCTGAAAAGGCTACGTACTGTATACTTCCAACTCTGTCATCCTCTCAAAAGGCAGAACTACGGAGACAGTAAAAAGTTCAGTGGTTGCTATGGGTTCTGGGGAAGGGAAGGCTGAGTTGGTGAAGCACAGGAAATTTTGAGGGCAATGAAACGTTTCTGTATTATACTCTAATGGTAGATACGTGTCATTACATGTTTGTGAAAACCCATAGAACTGTATGACACAGTGAATAAACCCTAATGTAAATGGTGGACTTTAGCTAATAATAATGTATCACTATTCATTCGTCAGTTGTTACAAATATAGCACACCAATACTAATAATTAATATTTGATGTTACATTTTCTAATAATCTTAATACAGATGTTAATAAGGTAAAGCGTGGGGGAGGTTGGAAGTAGGGAAAGAGGAGTTTTCTGCGTTTTCTGCTCAGTTCTGTAAAACAGAAAAAAATAATGTCTATCAATTTAAAAAGTTAGTCTTATGTGAAATTCAAATTTATGTACTTCATATAGAATCAGTTATTTAAAAATAAAGCTTTTACATGCAAATAAAACTCCATAGTTTCTTCAAATATTAAAGTAATGTTTACTTGATCTATAACATTTTTATTTACCATTTGATGGATTATCTGAGTAGAATTTTTTTTTATCTCCATAGTTTTTTTTTGCGGGCCTGGGGGCGGTAGGGGTCAAAGTTAGCACAATAGCTTCTCTTGATCAACTATTAAGTAAGTGTTCTATTAGGGTTTTTTTTTTTTTTAATTTAAAAGCTTAAATATTTATCATTAAATAAATTGTTTTAGCGCTTGTTTCCTTTTTCAGAACAATTTTAAACTTTGTCTGGAAAGTATCTTTTTTCCCTCTGTGGGTTGCTTTTCCACAGTGTTCTGGAGCTGTCATTGCCAGATGTGGAAATAAAAATAACAGTGTGACTGTTATACCCAAGGCTTTGGCCTGTTTGCTTCCTCCCTAAAAGCACTGTGTGTGGGGGCAGATTACTGGCATTTTGAGGTCAAAATCAAATCTGGAAGTCGAAGCTTACTGTAAATAGAGAAACAAAGGGGAGAAAATGAGAAGAGGTGTATATCTGACTGATTATTCTAAGAAAATAAATATCAAGACTTTGAGAACCTAGATGTAATTGAACACATTTCATTACATCCATCTAGGGACAATTTAAATACTTCCTAAAAGGAATGCTGCTCTATAATTTAGTTTCTTAACATATTGTAGGTATAAAGAAAGTGTATTTTGGAAATTAAATTAATCCATTTAAGTGCATCCCATAATCGAAAATGTTTCCTTTTTATTGAAACCAGATGAGATGAAACAGAAGTCTTTGGGAAATTCACCTCCTTATTGACAATATGATAATGAATAACATTTGATGTAATAGCTAATACTTTATTTCTCTAACTTGGAAGAAATGAAAGGAATTAGAAAAGATGATTGAGGTTAACATTGTATGAAAATTATTTTAAAGAAATTCTCAAGTGATGTGTATGTGTATAAAGTGCACTTTTAGTTGGAACTGGTTCACTGGTTTTTTGTGGTTCATTTTCAGGTCCTTCAACAGCTTTTAAATCATTGCAGGAAAAACAGAGATAAAGTTCTTCTCTTTTCTTTTTCCACCAAGGTGAGTTTTAGCTAACGTACTTCCTTGATTGACCAGCGCTAACTGTTGAGGCATAAAGAGTAAAGCATGTGCCTACATGGCACCTTACAGCCACATTTTCTCTTATCTACATAGTAGGAAATAGGGAGGTAAGCAGCTTAGTTTTTAAACAGATGCTAACATTTCATTTGTTTTAGGATTACTGTCAGTTATCAAACTCAAAGATTTGTATTTTCTGTTGATGTTTTTAATAATGACAGTGTTCTTTAAGACATTTAAGATATTTTAGAACTTAGAAAATAGCACACATATATTTCCATAAATGATTTCACCAGTAATACTGTTTTTTAAAAACTCAAAGATTGATTTTTATAAGAAGTTCTGATTGTTAAAGCCACAATGTTGCAGGATAACAGGGATAAACTATACGGGTCAGAAGTGAGAAAAATACTTATTGCTCTTGGAATTATAAGAAATTATGAACACCAATAATTAATACTTAGCAAGTCTCAACTTTGTAATGGTCTGAAACTAACTCAACCAAGATTCACGTTTGCCCGTCTTCATATGTCTCCTCTAGTTGCTTGACGTGCTACAGCAGTACTGTATGGCGTCTGGGCTTGACTACCGGCGGCTTGATGGAAGTACAAAATCAGAGGAAAGACTCAAGATTGTGAAAGAGTTCAACAGTACACAAGATGTGAACGTCTGCCTTGTCTCTACAATGTAAGCGAAGGAAATGTAATGACTTGATTTTTATCTAATTGTTTTTGAGACGTAGGGTAATTTTGAAAACTATCACTGGATTAATTTTTAATGGCTATGCTTATATTGTTTTGTTTTATTTGGCTTTAAGGAGAAGCAGCAAAAATTTGACTGAAATTTCAGTATTTTAAATGTGAGCTAGGCTTTTCTCTCATTTCCTTTATCATTACTGAATTCCCTTAGAAGTCTGGGTTTATAAAGGTAACAGTAAAAAAAATAGATATTTCTTCCTACACATTTTCTGCAGTATATTGTGATCCATGTCTTCCGGTCGGAATAATCAGACTTCGTATTAATCGGATAACTGAGAATCACTGTAGCAGCACTTTCCCCACTGTGTCAGGGAGCCCTTGACAGCCCTCCAGGGATGGAGCCTCCACCTTGTCTCGGCTGGAGCAGCTCTGCAGTTCGAGATTTTATGAAAGATAAGTTGGTTCTAACCCTTATGTATGAATAGCCCTATGAGACCTTTTAGAGAATATACACACTTCTGAAAAGGTTTAAATCAATATAAACCCCTAAGCAAGATTAATCCCATTTTAGGAAGATACCTTTTGACACCCTGTGTAATAAGAATGTTATAGATTCATTCCCACTGTCTTTCAGAATTTCGAGGGACTTTAAGTAAATGTAAAACGCACAAAGTAAAAATTAAATCAGAATAGAAATTAACTTAAAATGAGGAATAAAGGCCGGGCACGGTGGCTCACACTTGTAATCCCAGCATTTGGGAGGCGGAGGCAGGCGGATCATGAGGTCAGAAAATCAAGACCATCCTGGCCAATATGGTAAAACCCCATCTCTACTAAAAACACAAAAATTAGCTGGGTGTGGTGGTTTGCGCCTGTAGTCCCAACTACTCAGGAGGCAGAGGCAGGAGAATGACTTAAACCCAAGAGGCAGAGGTTTCAGTGGGCCGAGATCATGCCACTGCACTCCAGCCTGGCGACAGAGCAAGACTCCATCTTAAAAAAAAAAAAAAGAGAGAGAAAAAGAGTAGTAAAATATGTTTATGAATGAACTAACACTGTTGAGCACTTAAATTATTCTTGAATTCCTACCAGTAAGATAAATGGGGAAAAGCTTTAGATTCCCATTTTCCCGTAAATGAATGCAAGAAGTAATTTTCCACATGAGTCCTTACGTACAGAGCATTAAATGACATAGAATACTGTGTTCAGTTAAATTTTGTAAAACACATTAGTATTCTAACTTCAAAATGTTTCCCAGTGATAGATGCACTGAACGGCGGTTCCAGTAATAGACTCAGTAGTCTCTCACTTCTGTTCTGCTCACTTCCACTTCATTTGATGAGATCTTCCTTAAAACTCTTTATTATCCCTTCACCTCTGTTCATCAGAAATTGGTATTTAACCTGTCCATTGAATTTTTAATTTGAATCATACTTTTTAAAATGTTTGTTTCAGATGGCGTTCTTGCTCTGTTAACTCCTGTACTTTGGGGTGCTGATCCTTCTATTTGTTGTTTCCTCTGGCTCTTGCTTATGGGTGATGGTTTCTTCATGTTTAGCCCTTTTTCTCTTCTGAGCTTATCTCAATGGGAAATTTTCCTCTGGAAATCCTTTGGAGACCAGTTGTAGGAGTTTTCCGCCTGTCTAGTTTTGCTTTGGCTTCTGCTGGGCAACCTGACAAGGGAAAAAGTTTTAGAGTCCTATTTTTCTGTGGCAATTTGAGTAATACATTGCATAAGTCATTACATAAGGAACCTTACGTAATATAAGAAATACATTCTTCATCTGTGTTTTGCAAAAGACACATAAGTTCAGTTTTTATTTTGTTTTTATCATTCTGCAAGGGTTTGTTTATTTTTTTTTATTTTAATTTTTGTTGGGGGACAAGAATTTCACTCTTGTTGCCCAGGCTGGAGTACAACAGCGCGATCTCGTCTCACCACAACCCCCGCCTTCCGGGTTCAAGTGATTCTCCTGCCTCCGCCTCCCAAGGAGCTGGGGTTACAAGCATGTGCCACCACAGCCAGCTAATTTTTTGTATTTTCAGTAGAGATGGGGTTTCTCCATGTTGGTCAGGCTGGTCTCGATTTCCTGTTCTCGTGATCCGCCCACCTCAGCCTCCCAAAGTGCTGAAATCACAGGCATGAGCCACCGCGCCCGGCCTGCAAAGGTTTATATTTACTCTCTGTTGTAACAGAATTGTTTTGACATTGGCTTAGCCATTATCTTGCCAGAATACGAACTCTTCATTACCTTTTAGTTTATGAACTTTATGTAACTTGGAACTTCTGTTGAGAAGGATGACTGAGGTTACTTTCACTACTCTCGGCCCCTTTTTCTTGCAATGTTTGCTCTTTTAAAATTATCGTCTGTAAACTACTTTAGTAACTTTAAATCTTTGCACTTCTGCACTGGATCCATTGAATTTCTTCTTAGCTCTTTTTCCTGGAATCCCTGTCTTCTTTCTTGGTTTGCCCTCCTGTTTTACTGGAAAATGATTCAAGTTTTGATGTTCTGTCCATTAACTTTCTGCACGCCTTCTGAGTCTTTGTAAGATGTGATATTAGCATTACCCCGCACACCCACCCTTTCTTCTACTTTTGTCACCTGTCCATATTATCTGTTAACTATTTAACTGTTACTTTGTCAAGGCTATTAATGTTTGCAATAAGTCCCACACCAATAACCAGTTACTGTCCATAGCTTGGCTCTAAAATTTGGAGGCAAAAAACCAGATTGACTATGTTTTTATGAACTAAACATCTTTAATGCAGGGGCAAGTAGTGCTAAGATAATTTCTCTGAATGTTCCCGACCTTTTGGTCACTTCAAGATGAGTGTTAACATCAGCCTCATGTGACTTCTCTTTCCTAAAACTTCATTCATGTTTCTGTTTGCACTGTTCAGCGCACTTCCAATCTCAGTCAGGACCTTTGCAGTCTTTCCCCCTTAGTCTGTTTTTGTCCTTTGTAATAATCCTTAGTGTTACCAACTGTCATTTGCACGTCCTCTTCTGTGGAGTCCTCTATCTCTTGGACCTTACTCCTGAAACCTTTATTCCTTGGTTTCAGCCTGGCCTAGTAGTTTTCTAGGCCTGATAAAGAGCTGTCATCTTGAAGTTTCCTTTCTACTGCTCTTCTGCCTTGGAGTGTTTTCCTGTTCCCGTGCTGTTTTTGTTCTGGACTTGCCTCCTTCTTTTCCTGGGAAACGTCCTCGTGTAAATTTTTAAGCCAGAATATATGGGAAGTAAATTTTCTACATCTGTAAATATAGAAAGTGTCTTTTATTGCCCTCTCACTTAATTGCTACTTTGTCCGACTGTACAATCTAAATTGAAAATTATTTCCCCTTCTATCTTTGAAGGGCTTGCAGCATTGTTTTCTGATAGCTGGTGTGGCTAAATAGATGTCCAGGGCCAACCTGATTTTCATTCCTTTGGGAACTCATAAGAGTTTTTCTTCATCTACAGTGTTCCAAAATTTCAGAGTGATATTTGAGTCTTAGTGTGGATCTTTGTTCATTTTTTTGTGCTGGGTACAGTAGGCTTGTATGCTGCAGGCTTATGTTCTTTTTCAACTCTGGAAATTGCTTTTTTATTATTTCTTTAACAATGGCATTTTTTCTTCCTTTTTCTCTGGTCCCTCCCTCTTGCATGCCAGGTCATCAGACTTTCAAACGATACTGGTTCTTTAAATGTCTGAACTTTTCTCTCATCTTTTACATTTTGTCTTTTTGCTCTATGTTCTGAAAAATGTCATTTTTTGATCTTATTTTGTTTGAAATAATCACTTTTTTTTTTTTTGAGATGGAGTCTGACTCTGTTGTCCAGGCTGTAGTACAGTGACGTGATCTTGGCTTACTGCAACCTTCTGCCTCCTGGGTTCAAGTGATTCTCCTGCCTCAGCCTCCTGAGCAGTTGGGACTATAGGCACATACCACCATGCCCAGCTAATTTTTGTATTTTTAGTAGAGATGAGGTTTCACCCTATTGGCCACGCTGGTCTTGATTTCCTGACCTCATGATCCGCCCTTCTAGGCCTCCCAAATGGCTGGGATTACAGGCATGAGCCACCACACCCAGCCATCACATTTTTAATCTAAATTTAGTTTTTCTTGCTTTCTGAGCTCTTTTGTTTTCAGAGTTACCTTTTGTTCTGGAACATTAGTGTTTTAAACTCTAGCTTTTTGTAGTCATTTCATTCAGTTTAAAGAAGGATCATCTGGCATTTTTTCTGGGGTTTGTTTTTTGATTTTGGAGAATCAGTGAATTTATTAATGAGTTTGAGGAAAACTGGATATTTTAAGGTATGAAGCTACCCTATCCATAAACATGATGTCTCTCTATTTAGGTTTTCTTAGAAGCATTGTTCAAATAAATACTTTATTTGACCTTTTATAATACTTAACACATAATAATAAAACTTCATCAAAGTCATTTTTGTAGAACATTAAGATATAGTTAAGGTGTATTTTCTGATACACTTATTTGATACAGGAAGAGAATGTGGCAGACCCAAGGAATAAACTGCCTGTATACTCATTAGGTATCTCAAATACCAGTCCTCAGCTTGAAAAGAGCAACATTCAGTTTTTTTTCTTTTTCTTTTTTTTTTTTTTGCTTAACAAGTACCCCTCTGCTGTTAGCCATGTAAGAACAGAGTGACAGGTGTCGAAGTTTAGGGTTCTGAGTTGTATTATCATCAAATGGAGAATCGTCTCATCTACAGAGAGCGAGTGGAGGGTTTCTTTCCTTCTCCTTTAAAGGGATCTCTGCTTCTTCCACAAGAACTGAATTATAACTTCAGAATCTCTTCTTCAACTGGTACAGATCTTACCTGTGGCTTATATATGGCACCTGAGATGGTATCATAAATGGGTCATGCCTGACTTTGCCAGCAAGAAGCTAACTGGAAAATTAGATTTATTCATACATAAACCTTTAACTTCTTTTCTGCTTTTCTCGTGTCTAAGTTGCACCCAATCCCCTAACT